CTCTCTCTCTCTCTCTCTCTCTCTCTCTCTCTCTCTCTCTTGTGCATTCACCCACATTACTTAATGCCATTTAATACCCGTGTGAATGATCAGAAACCGCGACAATCTCGGACGCCTATCAATTAATTAATTAATTAACAGTGACACGATTAATTAGCTAAACTGATAACCATGCATTCTGCTGTTGCGCCTATAATGAGTGCTGCTAATAAACAATATGATCGCGTCCCGATGTTGCTCTTGAAATTCGAGGATAATGATAATAATGTACGTTATTATAACCAGGGAGAACCGACTAATTACAATTGTTACTTCTACGCGGAGAAACGGGCAAAGTTCGCTATAAATAAGGCCGCATCGTTGCTTAAATTTGCGCGTTCGCGCTTCGGATATTCTCGTAAGAGCTCGAAGACAAATGACTATATCGCAACATGTTAATTACCGTGACGGTCATTGGTGACCGGCTCTATGATATCACTACGTCTTTTTCGTTGAGTTGCGTACAAGTGTAATTAATTACATTATGGAGTAAAATCAGGCCGTATAGCCAATGGAGAATTCGTGAAAAGATATCTTAAAAGATATTCAAATTACGCTCACTTTCTTAAAGCGAATCGGCAAAAATGTTTCTGATGGAATCAGTAAAGAGACTCTTTTCACTGTTGATCAGTAAATATTGACTGATTTTCTGATTTTCATTGAAAACGCTCCCACATTACTGCTTCGTATTCTCATGAATTTCGATCAGTGGAAGTAAGATTCCACTGCAAAATCTGTGATAAACAAATTCGTTATATGTTACACCAAATTCAAGTTTCTCTGCATCTGACAAGCATCTGACAATGACACTGTCAGTGTTATATTTGTTCTTTCAGTGTATTATTAACTGATTCAATCAGTGGCTGGTTTCGATTATTATCAAAACACAAGTTGACCGGTTATCGACATCTAATCAGTAACTTTGTTACTGATCTGAGTTTGATCAGCCGCTTCTGTAACTTTTAACAACAGTGTTGTTATCGTTATGTTGCCGTTGCTCAAGTAGAAAAGCAACATGACGACACGCCATGTTGGCACCGTCGTTATAAAGTTAAAGAATCGGCCTGCAGGGTAAAACACAAGTTTTCCTGCTCCTGATTTTTCGTTCTGACCGGTCTAACAAAACATGCTTATTTCCAAGTCGATATCATTCACAAGAGTCGATAACTCACCTTAACAGGTACGGGGTACGGGGCGGGTATCGGCACTGCCACCTTAACCGGGACCTTGACTGGGTAGGGCTTCTCTACGGGGACCGTGACCGTCTTGGTGTGGACAACAGGGTACGGCTGCGGCACGGCGACAGGTACTGGAACTGGATGCGGCACAGCAACTGGAACCTGAGGACGAGATGTAGAGTATGAGGCGTAAAATTCAGACTCCGCCGTTTGTTTTGCTCATCGTTTCGAGATCTCGAAGTGCCATTGCTAATGTCAAGCCTTCGATTACTCTGTGACGCGTTATCCTTCGGCTACCGTACCTTGACGGGTACGGGACGGTCAACGGGGACCGCCACGGGGACGGTGACGGTCTTCTCCTTGACGGCGACGGCGACACCGTGTCCACCATATCCACCGTATCCACCATCGTATCCACCGTATCCACCATATCCACCATATCCACCATATCCACCACCGTGTCCAAGATCGTATCCACCATAACCGTAATCACCCAAACCGACCAGGCCGCGCTTCTTCACGGTCTTATCCTCGACGGCGAATGCCGCGGAGATCAGCACCAGACAGATCTGCAAAGCAAAAAACAAAAGTGGTGAATTAATCGCATCTGTCAGAGATTCATCATTAGTTGGTTGACATTTGCTGACGACATCGCCCAGATAAATTGACAGAATAAAAAGAAATATAGATGAATATGAGCGAATGAGAAGTATATAACACACATAATATCAACTATATATATGATATAAATAATATAAAATTTTTTTTAAATTTATAAACAGATGTAAGTAAATATCAGTTGGACTCAAAAGTGTTTTTTTCCGTAAACGCTGAACGAGTATTGATACGAAGTAAGCACACTGAGAAAAAATGAAAATTTATTTGTGGGATGCCAAGTTCGTTTTTTGCAAGAAAAAACTTTTATCTCATAAATAAAATTTTTCAAGTATTTTTTCCCATTGCATTTTTTAAATAGAAATATGCTGATAAATGTAAAAAATATATGCGTTCTATGTGAAAAAATTTCTGAAACGATTTGCTACACAGTCACAGAGGGATAAATAAATAGATAAAAAAGCTAATTAATGAATTAATTGGTCTTTGATGAAATCGAACGTATCTGCAGATCGCGAGATTTCCGTTGCGCGAAAGAGAAATTTCCCCAATTTTTCCGTGCGATCGCGAAATTTCGCTGCGACAGATTTCGTTGGAACCGGCAAGTCGAGACGCGACCGATTTCGTCTGATCTCGAACGAGGCTCGCGCTGGAGATAAGTTCTCTCTTTCTCACGTCGTGTCGCGAGAAGAGCTACGCCGTGGACGATGTTAATCGCGGATCGCGGGTCGCGTCGCGTAGAAACGTACCAGGGCCCTCATGTTGAGCGTTACTTTGGCGTGAGAGTGAGTCGCGTAGTAAAATAGATCGGTTTCTGTCTACGGGCTGGAAAAGCAACCCTTTATATAGGGAATTGACTTTCATTTCGCGCCTGCACCCCGCCAATGAGAAGCCAACGGCCGGCCGGCGTGCTATCGCCACACCTACCTAGACTCGTGCACTATTTACCCACGACACACCACACGTGCACACGACGTCGCGACATGCACACAAGTACACAGTCACACACACACACACACACACACACGTGTATATATTAAGACACATAATGCGCAACGAAAGAGGAAAAGGAGGAGGTTGTATAACACACTAAACGTGAGCGCGAGACGCGAACGTTACTAAATGGAGCGCGCGACCACTTTATGCAGACATTTGCATACGAGCGCGCGCGCGTGCATTTTGATGCAGCGGCCCGATGCGAGACGGAGCCTTAACGAGACGACGACGTCGAGGCTTTGCCACCCGCCTCGCGAGATCTACCACGCGCGAAACCGCGGTTGCAAGGATGGCTTGTCGCGTTTGTCTCCTAACTTGAAGCTCCGACTTGCGAAATCGGAGGAATACTAGTCAAAATGCGGCCCGGTCGTTTCATGACGCGGCTCGAGCGAACCTGAAGAACCGTGGGATCATTTTTCCTCGTCCTGCACTCTTCAGCCGACTGGAAATCGGCTGTCCTTTTTACTTAACGCGTTTGTTAGAATCATTTGGGAAGTTTCCACATTGAATAGGAAAATGTAAATAAAATAATTCAGATAGCGAAGATGCACCTCGCCTGACGATAAAGCAATAATAAAATTATACGCATTTTCTAAAAATAAAATAGTTTTGATAAAAACCAAGAATTAAATTTGCAAAATTTTTGAGAACATTTTTTCATCTTAATGATTGAGATAAGGTGAAATTTCTTTATTTTAACCTACTCAATCAATAATTAAAATAAAAATATTTTCCATTTTAATATACACTTTAATATTCATTTCAACTTTTATTTAAAAAAAATTTTTCTTCCTTATTTACATTGTAAAAAATACTATCACCTGTTGGTTCACTTCTCTTTTTGGTTACAAAATAATAACTTTGTTTTAATAATTATTTTACCGATTTATTTTAATAACTACTCTTTTTACTGGTTCAATCAGAAATATCTTTCATCGAAAATCAATATTATTTGATTATCGATGAAATACTTTCATTTTAACTGAGTGTACTGAAAAAAATCTTTGTTATCTGAACAAAAGCACGATAGCTGTTTGATGAACGTTAAGGAAGCAGATTGAACAGTTATCTTTGCAAATTAGTTCCCATCATTTATCATTTTAACAAACATACACACACTGCCTGACAATACAAATCACATTTGTTCCCGTCTACTTATGTTAGGTCAGTTATGTCTCCATTGCAATATTACTTGGAGCGGCAAATTGAAAGTAATAAATCGTTTATTCCCACCACGAAACCATTCGCTGTCCTATATCAACAAATAAACCTTTCTCACAGGCACTAGTATTTTGTTAGATTGGCAAAACTCTTTCTCTCAGTGTGACTCTCGCGTATTAGATCAATACTTAGCATTAGCTCTTATCAGTTCCTTCTTTTTGTTGTCTGTTGATCGTGCATCTGAGAAGATCGGTGCGTCGTTGATAGCAAAGGCGCGAAATCTGAGCTTTCGTTTCTCTTTTGCTCTGTACCGCCATTTGGCCGACAATTAAGGCGTATCATTGTAAAAATGAGTTCACGAAGCGATATTTTATCGTAGCGGGATAACTCGCTCCGACGAGTCTCGTCTCTCTCTCTCTTTCTCTTGCGCCGACAAAGTCGGACAAAAATCACGCACACGGCTGTAAAGAAATTTTTTCCTAATTAACGCTCACGCCGTTCGCACGCACGCACACGGCGTAATAATCGCAACGGGCGAATTTATCCTCAGCGTCCGGTGCGAGAGGTCGGTTTGCGCAAGATTGCTCAATGCTTCATTACAAGGCAAAGCAAGTATTAGCGGCCGCTAATATAAATCATACGCATGAGGGACGCAAGAGTGTCTTCTACTATGGCGTGCACTATTATTACGTCATTGTAAGGTGCAGATTGCCGCCACGTGTAAGGTAGCAATCTCACGGCATCGCAGTTATCATCGCCATCGCTGCGAGCGTGACTGATATGTTAGTTTAAGTCACCGTAAAAAGTCACCTTTATCGGTGCGAACCGCCCGCCTGCTCGCCCGACTGATTTATGACGATCCTTCTCGGCCGCTCAGTGGCGAAAAGTGATTGTTCACTCGTCGCGTAAATTCCGTTCGACGTTCGTTTCGCGTCTCCGCCTCACGGAAACTCAGTCATTGGCGAAATGTCGCCCCTTCCCAACGCATTGAGAACAAAAGAGACCTGTAGACCTTTTATTGTCATCTCGCTCATACTCTGCGATCGATAAAAAGAAACTTTTCTACATAACTCAGATTTCTTTTTTAATTAAAATCTCGGAGTGGTTGAGGCACACTTCCGGGATATATTTTATTGCAAAATATTAAATATTTTATTGAGAAATTTCCTTCTTAGAAGACTTTCTCGTTTTGAAGCGGGACCAGCTTTTACGACTTGGGTATGCGCAGGAACCCGTGTTACAGGAAAACGTGTTACGTTATTCGTGAGTCGGTAGTAGCGAATCGTCTAAAATTTAAATCGCAAGCGCGATAAATAACGAGCCGGAGATAGCGTCGCGACGTTGACGCAAAGTGATCGGCGTCCGTCACGTTGGCACGCGAAACAGGCGCCCTACCGGTTGTCTACGCCCAAACGAGCGGTTTCCTGGTTTAATGTTCATTTGTCTCGCCGTGTAACTACGCTTGCGAGCGCTGCCAGTCGCTGTTAATGCATATTATTCGAGCCTTCACTTAACCCCGTATTACAACGACGGTACGTTCTTTCTTTCCGTCATGGTTAATTTGATAGATCATTCGATAAAAACCAACGCGATTTCAGCTAAAATTTTACCAAAGAAATCACGAGACTGAAGGAAATATTTAAACAAATTTGGACAGACAGACATAGTAAGCCTAATCATCCTTATCTTTTGCAAAATAAAAAAAGATTTCATTTTTTCGTTAAAAAATAAAATACGCGTACGCGCGCGTGGAGAATTTTATTCGACAGTTAAATTAAATTATCGCGCTTAATATCTTGCGACTTGTACTTTCTTACTTTGGTCGAAAAGATATAATGATTACATTTAAATAATTATTTTAATTCAATTTAATAATTTAATAATAACTTTATTTTAAAAATTAAAGAAAATATCAAAATTTTCAAATACATAATTGACAAGAAAAAAGAAATCAAAAAGAGCTACGCAAGATTTATTTTTTGCTAAACTTAATTGTTAAAATAGAGAATTTAATTAAAATAAAATTAAAAGCAATTATTTAATTAAAATTATAAATAAAAAAGTTTTAATTAAAATTTAAACAATTTTTATTTTGATAATTAAATGGATTTCGCAAATTAGATCTTGCGCAGACTCTTATTAACTTTATTTAGCTACACTAAGAAAAAAAATATCCAAAAGATAGTTAATATCTACTTAGTGAGTACTAATGACATATTTATTCAAATCTGAATTTTCTTTTATTTAAATAATAAAAACGTTTTTATGAAAAGCTAAGGTTTCCTTAATACTTTAAGAGAACGTATATTTTCTTAAGAAAATTAATAAAAGTGAGTAATAACAGCCAAGGCTCTTTTGCCCTCACTTTTATTAATTTTCTTGATTGAATATCTTATGAGCCTTAGCCTCATTATTGTAAGTTTTCTTATTTGAAAAATATTTTATATTAGCATAAGTAAATGTCTTATTAGTATCCACTGCGATTTTTTCTGTCAGTATGTATGACGCGATTTGGTGCGAATCCTGGATTAACGCGGTGTCGTTATTTCAAGCTTTTGCATAATCGGATATTCCGTATTTAATCTAATGTTGCAATTGCAAAACACGCGTCCTCTGGTTGTCGAAATAATTGGATCCAGCGCGTGGTCGGGTCGCCCGAGGCAAGGTCTCGCGGCGACAACACCGGTAATGATAGAACGACACAGCACGCTATTCGCGAAAGGATCATTCCTCCGCGGGAACCGCAACGGTAATTACTTAGCGCGCGCTCTGAATGAGCGCAATTTGTAGCGGAATGTGCACTGTGCACATAATTATCCGCTTATCTATCTATCTGTCTCTCTCTCCATCACCTTGTTTCTCTCCTTCACACGTATACATTTGATCTCGGCTAGTTTCGCTCATTCTCTGATGCTAAACGTTACGCTTGAGATCGGAGGATTGATCGATCGCATTATCCGGCGCTCATTCGCTCGTTCCTCGAGTTGTAATGTCCATTAATTGCTTATGGCAATTATTCGAATTGTTTGTTGCAATACAGCACGTTCTTTCCTCAGCGATTTTATTTTCAGCTAACGTTCAATGCAATTCGAATCTCACGAGGTAAACGAACGAGAGGCGTTTAGTGTCAAACCTCTTATTGTTGTCGTATTTTCCTGTGTGATACTCTTTTAAGGTAAATCAGTAAATGTGTTTCTTACTGAATCAGTAAAAGGTGTAGTTATTAAAATGAATCGGTGAAATTAATTGTTAAAATAAAGTTATTTTTTAAAAAACTAAAGCAAAAAGTGAATGGACCAATAAGTGACGGTATTGCAATGAATAATAAAAAATGAAAGTATAAGTAATATATTAAAAAAAAAATATTTTGTTAAGATGAAAATTGAAATGAATATTAAAATGTGTATTAAAATGAAAAATGTATTTATTTTAAAAATTTATATAAAAAATAACACAATTCCTTATAGAATAAAACATCTAATTATTGACACCTCTTTAGTTGTTGACACTCCAGAGAAAAACTTAGTTTTTCTTTCAACGCAGTTGAACTTCTTGTCTGTACTTTATGAGTTCAAGAAATAACTTTACAATTAAAACTGTAAACAATCACTGCTGCTCGAAAGAGAAAAACCAGATTTTTCTAGATTA